CAGAAGTCCCGAAAAGGAATAACTGGAAAACGAAATCTGCCGAGCCGCTGCCTTTGAATTACATACAGCAATTGTAGTCACCAGGAAAATTATACTACGAAAGTAAGCCATGGGAATGCGAAACACAACACAAAAAAGCATTCATATGAAGGTGCACAGTGGAAAAGAGTGAGATAAGGAATGATGTTACGTAAAGCATCTCATAGATAAACTTCCATATCATCAATGTTGAACATAAACTGAATTCTTCTTCGCTACGATAAATACAATTTCTTCACTAGAATAGCAGAACAGTGCAGCTCTATAACAACTTACATGAAATCATGAATTCTCAGACTGAGCATTCAACTGCTTTCCAAAATTGGTTCGATTAATCAGATCAGGTGGGACCTGTTGCATCACAAGTTCAAGCATATCATTGAACTTGTTCATGAGGTCGTATCGCTGGTCCTCAACGAACATTTGCATCAATTCACCTACTTGTAGAAGTTTCTGGAAGAAAAAACATCACCAAACATAAACTAAACATAGCTGTGATGAAAGCATCGCTTACTTGCTCAAATCGCCTATATGCCTCCAAAGTTTTCTCTTTGGCAACAGTATCCTGGCTCGGTACTGGCTGAGGAACATCGTCAACGATAATGACCTCGTCTTCACCTTCTCCTTCGTGCTCTACGTCTTCTTCCTCGTCTATGTCAAAATCATCGTTGCTGCAAGTCTGACTGGAGCTTTCATATGAAGAGGTGCTTGGATCTAGAGTATAAGCGCCACTTGCATTGGTGTTGGCAAGTTCATGGTCCCTGGAGACTTCATTCTCTAAAATCATGTTACCTATATAAAAAGCTCTAAAAACTAGGCTGTCTGTACCTGTGGAAGTTGGCAGAGGGTGTGGATGCCCACAATGTCCAAAACAGGAAACGACTTCTACCAAACCATCTCTATGAAGCTGTCCCTTAACAAAGCACTTTCTAACCATGGCTCGGCGATCGATTGTGCCAGAAAGAATGAACACAGTACTGTAGAAAGTCGAGCATTGAACTTGAAATTTCTCACAAAGATCTGCCTTCAGAAGGTCAGCCAATAC